CCGGGGCAGGCGGGAATCGAACTCATGTGGAAGCGGCTTTAGATTCTCAGTGCTGTGCTTTAACCCACTGCGCCACCAGGGAGGGCCAAGGGCCCAAATTTTTAGCACTGGTTTTCACTGAGAAAACTATGGAATACTAGTTTTCTTTACCAGTAAACACTATTTTTGTTTGCCATAAAATCACTACTAAATATGCTTGTGATGGAAATATTTTAAAATGTAAATCTTATCTGTTATCAGTATTTTTTTATTGGATCAAAAGAAGTAATAGTTTCTAAAATCATGTTTATTGCAATATCGTTTAGTAATTAATTCAGTTTTTCTTTAGGGTTGTGAACTGCCTCTGCACGTTCTTAAAATATATTGGAGGATCTTTTCTCCCAAACAGAATGTTTTCTCTATATGTAAACTACAACTGTTACACCAAGAGCTACTTCTGGATGACTGTCTTTTTTTGAAAGTTCAACACTACAAAAATATTTATTTATTTATTTATTTATTTATTTATTGGAGCATTATAATAGATGCTGTCATCAACCCAATATATTTTTGTTATCAAATTATTTTTTGCAATATCTTTCACCTAAGGTTATCATTTATTTTCCCTAGTTTACACATTCATAATTAAAGAAATTCCCTTTGAATTTTATGCTTTGAAAATTTACATTGCAAATGAATTGTTTTCATTAATTAAATACTTTGTCATGTAAATTCAGTCATCCTCTTGTATTTCTTAAAAGGATAAATCTATTAATCAATGCACTTTCTAGCTAATTTCCTTGAACGTTAAGAGACTAATGATATCACACATTTAAAATACATTTTATCAAGTCAATTTTTATAAATTCGTTTTTATTTCTGGTCAAGATAACCGAAAAGCTAGTCAAACCTGTTAGTAATGTTAAATAATAATTATGTCATAGGACATTGCAAAAAATAATACTTTTGATATATTTTCCAATTAGAAATGTAAGTATTAAATTCAGAAAATAATAAAGAAATATTTCCATTCCTGTTTTACACATAATTTATTTATTTGAATGAAAAATGAACAAACATTTAGTTATCCATCTGTCTTTTAAAGTTCTTTGTGACAGAACTCGGGGTATATTATAAACTTACTAATTAAAAATTAATTCTATAACAGGATGAATCATTTTTGTAGGTAATAAATTTATTCTAGATTTTTGATCCATACCTGCCATTTGCCTTGAAATATATGTGACATATGTTAAGTAATACATGATTTAGAGCTTTAGTTTTCATTTTTTTGTTAAATATCTTATCAAATCTAGATTGGTCTCTGAGCAAAATGAAGGGAATTTTAGTTTATTAAAAACATGAATCTTGGGCAATACTATAGAAAACTAAAAAATACACCAGTGGATTTAATTCTACATATATTTTGTAAATATATTTATTTCATAACATAAGGTTCTCCTTCTTTATTAAAGCCACCAAATATTTGAAATGGTCCATTATATTAAACAAGATTCAATTCTATTTTGTACATTATTTCCATAAATTAAGTTTATAATGTAAGTATAATTGTTTGTTACATTTAATGTTTATTTTTAAAGACTTTTTTTTTAGAGTATTTTTCTGCAAACCTTACAGTAAATTTTAGTTTTCTCAAGATCTTTTGAGCCCTTTTCTGTTTTGCAAACAACTGAAATTTTAAACACATCTCTTTAGTCATTTTTAATCAGGACCACAATGATCATCATTTTATAATGGATGCTATCTTCTGACTTTATTTTTTCTAGTCCTGTGTGCACACATTCAATTGGTAAAAAAAAAAAAAAATTGCACACATTCAATTGGTAAAAATTTGCATCCAACTCCAATTTACTTAATTTAATGATTATTTTCTATTACAGTTGTAAGTGTGCTTGGTAATTCCAAATAGTATGGCATTTCTTATTTTATGATTGCTGTGTCTTTTATGCATATTGCCATGCCATCTGTGGACCTTTTACTTTTTTATACTTGACTTGGATAAGAAACACTATGATACACTGTGATTTCTAATTTCTTAAACTATGGCTTTGGTTAACTTTCATTAAAGCACAGATGTAGTTGCCCTCAACCCCATTATGTTCTGAAGTTTGCTTACATAAACTATAATTTTTTATTAATCAGCACATTCACTTTTGTCCACTTTGAAGTTCTTCTTAAGAAATTTTATTGTGTGGCAATTTGTTACAAAATTGCTTACATTTGTAAGTTATATCAACATATGTCTTCCATATTTTTATAGCAAAGCAATTAAAAGTACAATCTCAGGAGTGTCTCAAACTGAGATTCAAACTTGATCTGCCTTGTACTTTCTGTGGAACACTGAGAAAGTAAGTAACTGTGTGTACTTCATTTGTGTTACATAGCTAAGAGAATAATGATAAAAATCTTACATAAATAAGAATGAAATGATGTCTGACACCTGAAGCATTTTGACTGAATCCTATGTTTGTAGGGATTGTTCTCACTGACAGCAAATTATCCATTAATAGGTTCTTCTACAGTAGTAGTTTATACAATTGTTTTCAGAAAGTTCTGATTTTAAATGATACATAGTTACCTTTGTTATATTTTTCAGTCTGAGAATTGTAATACACTAAAAGTTGTTATCAATAGCAATTAAATTGAGTGGTTTTCCATTTTTTAATTATTAAATAAACATTTTTTTCCCCAAGGTCTTATGGACATTTTCATCTGCTTCACAAATTTTTGGAACACCGAAACTTTGTTACTTTTTTTTAAAGGTCCATAGTTCATTTCTAGCTTCAAATTGGTATTGAAGAAAAAAAAAAAAAATGGAGAGAGGACTTGTTAAAAGTGCATGATCACTGTCTATTTTCAAATATATTTTAGGATAACTAATATTGCAATACTGCATGTAAGTTTCTATATCACTTCTTCAAAGGACATTATCTTCTCAGATACCTTTTTTTCTGTATTCTTATTGTTTATTCATCATCCTAAAATATAATGGTTACTTTTTGTTTGGTTTCTTAATTTCTATTCTAAAATTAGTTTTTTTTTCCAGTTAATGTATTATTTTCATTGAGTCACACATCACATTTTGTTTATAATATCCATGTACTACTTATAAATTTTAATGAATCTCTTTAATCTTTAAGCCAAACCATTTCATTCACTTCCGTAAATGTCAAGGATACCTATCACATAATTTTAAATTTCCTTTCAGACCCTAGAGTATTTGATTATGGGACAAATATGGATGATGTTAAATAGGTACTCAATTTCATCTCTCTTCTACCTGAAGTAGCCCAGACACCTTCAGTACATCGGTCTTAATACTGAAGCCCTGCTTTCATGAAATGATGGGTGACCTCTAAATATACTACTATAAACTGCCACAAACCCACTGGCTTTCTATCCCAAACATGACTTATCAAGGGCAATTAACTTTTTTAACTGATATTAATCCAAAACTCTAATTCTTATTATGCTGTCAAGTCTCAAGAAAGAACACTTTTAAAATTCATGTTTGGGTTCAAATCCAACTTGTTGAACTCCTACTTTCTGTGAGTCATAACTCAAGGTCTTGTGGTTGAATGTAGGGTTGAATATAGGGTTTCTTCTAGAAACTTGGGGCTAGTCACTGAAGACAAATGCATCATACAATGGATGAATGGAAGTGAGGTATGGTCAGCACTATACAAAATGCAGATTGTGCTTTGCAAGACAAGAAAAAGGAGTTAGTGATTTTGAGAGCAGAAGGGATTTTTAAAATATCCTGAGAAAGTAATCTTTGGATTGAAGAATAACAGAATTTTGAGAAATGCATTTATGAATATGAGCATCATAGAAATAGTGAAAAGTGTGGAGGG